TGTGTATTGTAAACCACACACTCATGTGTAGCTACGGGGCTTTATCAAACACCCGACAATGTTGTGCAGCGGATGTCGTTGAGCACGAAGTAGTGTCACAATATCCTCACACCCCACGTTGTCGTGTAATACGTATAATAAATCACTATCTGTGAAGGGTGAGGGTCTGAGACAAGGTTCAGATAGATTTACCGGCACCTGCTGTCTCGATGACAACATATTTGCCGTGCAAAGCTGCTTTTCAAAGCCGTGCCAGAATTCTATGATCGACGGTTCCTACTAATGATGGTTCCTTTCTCTAACGGTGTTCCTTGAATTTACCTGACAGGTAAAAGTCTAAGACAGTCGGTTGTTCCTCCCATGTTTAGAAGCCACACCGTGATATAACTGAAATACGGCTCATTTCACTTATAACATTTCAGCATGGTAAACAATTTCTCCACTGAACGTGATGTGTAAAGAGCAGTAGGGGTGACTATTGAATGGGAAACTATTGCGATAGCGATAGTCTATTGCGACCAACTATTGTAATACTATTGCAATTGTTTTTGTTTCTCCTTGAATTATCTCATTTGAAGTCATTTTCCAAATGAATGTATACTATTAGTTTATATGAAATGAAATAAAAACAAGTTGAACTAGTTTCAGTCTCTTTTAATAACTGACAAGAAACTTGAAACAAAGATCAAGTAAACAGTCATGTTTGTTTAAGAGGTAACAGGGGCGGATAACTGTAAATCAAAGTGAACATACTTGTACTTCCTGCATTTCGCACTGCGCATTTATCAACGGAAGTCAATAACTATACTATCGATAGTCACACATACTATCGATGCATCGATAGATTTTCATTTCTACCATCGATTAATTGCTATCGGAGACTCAACAATTGCAATCCATCGATAGTTCGATGCATCGTTACAACCCCAAAGCGTGGTGCAAAGGGTAGAGCGATGGGTTGTCGGTTCGATAGCTGACCGCCTCATACCGAAAGAGGGTTTAAAGATGGAACTTGTTGTTACCCTGTATTCACAGCAATGAGGGCAATATCTTGGCAAAACAAATGCACTGTGGTTGGCTATTCATGTTTGTCATGGTAACTCAGTGAGATAGCACTGTTAAGTCGGTATTAACCAGGACTAGTATAAACACACACGCGCGCACACACACACACACACATATATAAACACATATGTATTCACACAAACACACATATATATGTATGTGTGCATAGATATTTAAATAATACATAATCATAGATTTATTTAGGTTAAATATATTGGAATCGAGACATCCCTCTCTCTCTCTCTCACACACTTACACACACACATTTTTGTTCAAATACAACAGTTTCTCGGTCACAATGTTTTTCTGAAAACTGAGGAGGTCGAGTGATGGAGTGCTTGTCTTTCTAAAAACTCCAAGAAAACACAACTCGGCCGCGTACCAGTTGTCAAGCATTTTACCTCTTAGTATTAATACTACTCTAGTAGGTTGAATATAAAGAAAGAAGAATGTTAACACCAGGCGCTTAACCTTCTTGTGAAGTTTCAAATAAGTAGCGAGGTATTATGTTTATGTTGCTATTTCCACGATTAATGTGGGCTTTTCTGCGTTTTTCTGCACGGTGGGAAAGTTTTCTTTGGTAGGCCTGCTCTACCTACAGCCTTCCTCCCATCACTAACACGGGGAGGCGGAGTCCGAGTCGGCAGGAATATATATATATTTTCGGTTCGGCGGTCAAATTACAGTCGGCCGGGCGATAGGAAAACAAAGACATACAAAAGGCTGCAAACTGAGTATGTGAGGTTAAAACGGCGCGGGCAATATTAAAATATTATTTTTATTGGCAATAACAATGACTGACGCGTAGGATGTGATACGCAGATCCCGCATATCAAACACTAGCAAAAGCGTGACGCCAAAGAATTAACTGGAACCACCAAGACAATCAATATCTAGCTCGTAATTGCTGTCATCATACTGAATGAGAAGGAAATGGAATTTGTTATAAGGTTATATAATCATTTGGAGTGGCTGTTAGCGCTAGGTAAACTCAACCTAAAACAGACACACCAACCCATTCTGTGAACAGATCGACACACTCTGTACACGTTCAGAACATATTGTATCGCCATTTCGCAATATGCGGTAATAAGAACTTTGATCCAGATCGGTTCGACCTGACAGTGATGGATTTGTTTGTTTGTTGTTGTTTAACGCCGCACTCAGCAATATCCCAGCTATATGGCGGCAGTCTGAAAAGGATCGAGTCTGGACCAGATAATCCAGTGATCAACAGGATGAACATCGATCTACGCTGTTGGGAAACGATGACATGTGTCAACCAAGTGTGCGAGCCTCACCACCCGATCCCGTTGCTCGCTTCTTATGACAAGCATGGGTTGCTGAAGACCAGTTCTGACCGAGATCTTCACGGGTTGACAGTGATGGAAGAATACATGCAGTGCATATATTACCATCTGTCAGCCTTAGTTTAGTTGATATGAAAGACATATACATGCAGTTATAGATTAAGTAAATCAAATTAATCTAATATTCTAGGACGACAGAAAATCAAAAACAATTTTCATTTATAATATGAAAGATTCAAATCAATTGTTTGAATAATAAAGTCTGGCAGATATAAGGTAATTGTGCCCAAAAGAGCAACATTATTTATTTAAACATGCGATGTCAAAGATACCACTGAGCAGTAACTTCCAGTAACTAATCAAATAACACTACAACAACACCATGTAGAAGCAGTTTTACGGTGCTGAATAAGCGACAATGTTTATATAATATCTTTAAACTTTAAAAAATTTTCAACTGAAATTCAAACAAATGACTATTGAAACATTTTCTTGCTCATTGGTTTATGACAGAGTGTACAATCCCCAAAACAAAGTTATCTTATTTGAATAAAAGTGACAAAACCCTTTCCACGTGCATATGAAATCTCTGCCAAAAGCAGAATCCATTGTACAATTGTGACTATATCATGAGCATATATTTGTTCCAGCAGTATTTCAGATTGACGGATTGACGTTAGGCCGTTTCGATCTATTCACTTCACACCCTGTAGGGGTAGCCTAGTGGTTATAGCGTTAGCTCGTCACGCCGAATACCCGGGTTCGATTCCCCACATGGTTACCATTTGTGAAGCCCATTTCTGGTGTCCCTCGCCTTGATTTTGCTGGAATATTGCTCAAAGCGGCCTAAAACCTAACTCACTCACTCACACCCTGTATCATGTCCAAGGCACTTCGACATGGAAAACGAACGCTTTAACCACTAAGCTACCCACCACAACCTCTACATATGTAACGACTCTCAGCGGCAGTAGGTGGTAAGACCGTTATACGCCTAAACAATTCACTGGAACGATGTGAACGGCCATTGAGATTCGTGCGTAATACCTGTTCATCTGGGTCTCGATCCACAAAACGTTCGCAGCGCTTCGACATTCGTAACCTATGATAAACTATAGAGTTACGACAGGTCGTAACGTTACGAATGCTTTGTGGACCGTGAATCAGGTGTTCATGGCCTCAGTAATGTTGCGTCAACGTTTTATGTCATACCTGTTGAGGACATTTCCAAATCTGAGGCAATTTCTGGTGTAACCGTGAAAAAATACCCCTCATGCAAATCCCTATTCAGGCGTGTGCAATATGCTCCTGAGGTTTTTTCAGGTGATCAATTTACTCGGCTTTGAGGGTGTCACCGGCAAAGTATCTACTCGCTTGTTTTACCTGTTGATAAATCATGACATGTGGACGTATTTGACAAGTGAAGAACTACTCTGTCTTCTTTGACAAATCAATAACACCGGGTGTTCTACCCTTGGAAATATTTGCACTGTCCACTTGTATACCAATAGTGGGGTCATCAAAGGTGTGACTCTTTCTTGTCTTTTCTTAAATGTCTTATCTTTGGCTTACCGCTTTCTATTCTTAGTGACTTACTCATTTTCAGATGTGGGATGGGCACTTCTAGACAACACTGCGGACAAACCCATATTGAGGTCACGACAGAATCAAACATGAACATCAGTTGATGTTTCCGTGTCCTGCACACCAAGAAATATAACAGGAGAAATAAAACACCGGATATCTTCAAGATAATTTCCATAGTGATGCTAATGTGACAATTCTTGTAAACTGTTTAACACTTTAGGGTTTAATATTAATACGCTTTTGACACAAAATACCAGTTATTGATTGTACATGCTTTTACCATCGTAACCTCGTACGGTTAACCACGGTTATAACGAACTCAAAGGAAACACTTAAGTTAGTTCTTCATAACAGCAGTTCGTTATTTCTGTATATATGACTGCAATGGCCTCCTAATACATACTTATTTTTAGTTTTATATGATATTTGAGATATCTGAGCGATATCGAATATATATTTGCCATATTAGCCATAAAAGAAGCTATTGGTCTGTCATGCAGGCCCTCACTGACAAATCCATGCAAGTTTTTAATACGTCACAAATCTAGGTAACTGATGCCAGTTTTGTGAAAATGAAAAGATCCTTTGAAATTGGCTCTTTTTTTTATCATATTTCATTGAGTTCATTTAAGATCTGATTTTTTATATGTTCATTTCATAGATGTTAAGGTACGAGAAATGGATGAACACATTTATGTATCCGGTATATTTTCGTTTTTAAAAATTAACAAAATAAATTGTTACATTGTAGTCCTTTTCAAATCTGATAACTTGCAACACAATAGCCTCACACCGTCCATATCGTGTTCATGTGAATCCAGTATTCAACTGTCTGTAATGTTCGATCCAAATGACGGCTTCTTTGAAAGGTAATACAACAGCTCTTTGTCACCACCATTTCGTTATTGTGCCACCCCTACTGGTTTACTACCGTGCCTGTGAATGCTCACCTTACTTTAGAAGAAGGGAATCCTACATCCGCTCATGCAAATCAATACATGCATGCATAAATTAAGACCTCGACGTCATGTAACGACACCGACTTTCCCGCCGGTGCGTTGTCGTCTGCTTCCTGCTTTCGCGGAAAAACACAGCGCGAGAACTCGCGAGATTAGGAGCAGCCGACATTCAGTCGAGTGAGTTTACGTGGGACAGTACAGCTTGCGACACGGTCTTTGTCAACAAGCGGCAAATATCTAAGGAACACTTTTCTCTCCGCAGGTAGGATTTACACACATGGCTTCACGCATTTGTAATAGTATCCCACATGAACCCATTTCGAGTATCGGATTTTATGTTGAAATGACGGTTGTCACGCTCTGTATTACAATGAGTGATGGGTCGAGAAGTATGTTTCAGTAAGAAGCGTTTCCCAATTAGATATATGACACAGATTATGATTTATCTTGGTTAACTGTGTTTTACGTTAATTTTAATGAAAATCAAGAAATTTCATAAATTATCATTTACAATTTTATTAGTACCACGAATCACAATGTCATTTGTGTTGGCGGACATATGAAATATTATCTGGTGAAGAAAATATCTAGATATATTACATAAAATATTCCCTTAAAGACACATTAAACATATGTTTGTCTCTTTCAAAGCTCCACATTCTGAGTGTTATATAAGAGTGTATGTCTTATAGTAATGACTCATCTCAATCATGGTACACGTGTGATTGAAAAAAACCCGGCTTTCGCTTTTCAGCTTCGTTTTCAGCACTGGTAATACGTTAAGAAATCCATTACGAAGTAGTATAATAATATTAAGTTTATAATGATAGAAATATTTTTTTTAACCTGTGTGACTTATACTTTGGAAGAATGATTTAACGTACAATGGTTGTTTGTGTGAATGCTAAGAGATATTTGTTCCCATTAAGTTGTATAATTCTCAAATCGTTCCATGACTGAACACCGATCGTAGCGCCTGTCGTTATGGCAACCCCCACCTATCATTATCTTATCGTTTTTCTGTTGAAACTAGAGATAGCTACAGTTTCACAATATTTGAACTAGAACACCTATCGCTCAAACCACTTGCGTCAATGCGGACGGCATCTAAAGCGATAAAGGTAATCCGTTTTTCACGAAGAAATGTTCAGATATCCCGGCTTTGTCAGCGGGAGGAATCACCCGGAAAGCATCGATGAACGCACACGACATGCCGAGCGTCTCCGGCAACGACTGCTACCTTTGTAAAGATAATTATGTGTAGAATTACCGTATTTAGCTATAATTATCATTTTATCATCATTATGGCGTCATTCAAGGTATTCTTTACGTTAACTTGCGTACATAGGTCCGTATGTCGAACCACAATCAGTATGCTACACGTAGTGGGGGTAGTGTATGAGTTCGGGGTGACTATTGAGGGGAAACAACTATTGCGAAAGCAATAGTCTATTGCAACATACTATTACGATAGCCATGGTCTATTGCGACCAACTATTGCAACTTGCAACTCTATTGCAATAGTTTTTTCCTCCTTTAATAGTCTCATTTGAATTATTTCCCAAATGAATGTATAGTTTATATGACATGCAAACAAGCTGAAGTAGCTTCAGTCTCTTTTGATAACTGACAAGAAACTTGAAATCCAGATCAAGACGGTTAAAGAGGTAACGGGGCGGATAACTGTAAATCAAAGTGAACGAATCTGGGACTTCCTGTATTCTGTACTGCGCATTTATCAACAGAAGTCAGTTACTAAGCTATCGATAGACACACATACTATAGATAGTTTTTCTTTTCTGCCATCGATTAATTGCTATCGGAGATTCAACAATTGCATTCCATCGATAGTTACACGCATCGTTATAACCCTAGTATCAGTGTCTGGATTATGTCGGTACAGATGTATCAGTGTCTGGATTATGTCGGTACAGATGTATCAGTGTCTGGATCATGTCGGTACAGATGTATCAGTGTCTGGATTATGTTGGTACAGATGTATCAGTGTCTGGATTATGTCGGTACAGATGTATCAGTGTCTGGATTATGTTGGTACAGATGTATCAGTATCTGGATTATGTTGGTACAGATGTATCAGTATCTGGATTATGTTGGTACAGATGTATCAGTGTCTGGATTATGTTGGTACAGATGTATCAGTGTCTGGATTATGTCGGTACAGATGTATCAGTGTCTGGATCATGTCGGTACAGATGTATCAGTGTCTGGATTATGTCGGTACAGATGTATCAGTATCTGGATCATGTCCGTACAGATGTATCAGTGTGGGGATTATGTCGGTACAGATGTATCAGTGTGGGGATTATGTCGGTACAGATGTATCAGTATCTGGATTATGTTGGTACAGATGTATCAGTGTCTGGATTATGTTGGTACAGATGTATCAGTGTCTGGATTATGTTGGTACAGATGTATCAGTGTCTGGATTATGTTGGTACAGATGTATCAGTGTCTGGATTATGTTGGTACAGATGTATCAGTGTCTGGATCATGTTGGTACAGATGTATCAGTATCTGGATCATGTTGGTACAGATGTATCAGTGTTGGGATTATGTCGGTACAGATGTATCAGTATCTGGATCATGTCGGTACAGATGTATCAGTGTCTGGATCATGTCGGTACAGATGTATCAGTATCTGGTACAGATGTATCATGGATCATGTCGGTACAGATGTATCAGTGTCTGGATCATGTCGGTACAGATGTATCAGTATCTGGATCATGTCGGTACAGATGTATCAGTGTCTGGATCATGTTGGTACAGATGTATCAGTGTGGGGATTATGTCGGTACAGATGTATCAGTGTATCGGTACAGATGTATCAGGTATGTCACAGATGTATCAGTGTCTGGATCATACAGATGTATCAGTGGTACAGATGTATCAGTGTGTGGGATTATCAGTGTCGGTACAGATGTATCAGTGTCATGGGATTATGTCGGTACAGATGTATCAGTGTCAGGGGATTATGTCGGTACAGATGTATCAGTGTCTGGATTATGTCGGTACAGATGTATCAGTATCTGGATTATGTCGGTACAGATGTATCAGTGTCTGGATTATGTCGGTACAGATGTATCAGTGTTGGGATTATGTTGGTACAGATGTGTCAGTGTCTGGATTATGTCGGTACAGATGTGTCAGTGTCTGGATTATGTTGGTACACATGTATACGAACCTAGGAGGTGGTACACGATTATCAGTGTCAAAAGTAGGAGGTGGTACACGATTATCAGTGTCAAAAGTAGGAGGTGGTACACGATTATCAGTGTCAGAAGTAGGAGGTGGTACACGATTATCAGTGTCAGAAGTAGGAGGTGGTACACGATTATCAGTGTCAGAAGTAGGAGGCAGTACATGTATGTTCAGTATGACCATTGTAATTGTAAGGTGTATCTCACAAAGTACTTGTTTATATTATATCTCTTTTATTTACTAACTGATATTTTATGTGGCATTTTGTACCCCCATTTTACGTGTATATTTTTGTCAGGGGAGTTATTTTATCATTAGGAGATTGATTTGTCCTAACTGGAGTGTTTTGATGCTCAGAGGGGAGTGATTTTATCCTAGGATAATTTCATTCTACAGTACCGCCGTGATACTGCTGGAATATTGCTAAACACGGCGTAAAACTAAACTCACTCACTCATTCTACAGTGTCTCAGTTCTGGGATAAGGTCAACCAAGAGTGATTCTGTTCCCGGATCATTCTAGAGTGAAATTCAAGTGGAGTAAACCGGTTTCAGAGCCTTCCAAAGCCTGTTACCTAGAACCAGTCCATCACCATTACCCTTGCCACATTATACAGTGCTACTCTATTGGATCGATGACTGTCAATCGATCAGCTGATTGATACGAAGTCAAGGGCTGGTAATAAGGCGTGTATCTCCACACTCTATTGCTGGATGAGAAAGCTTGACCGTACAGTACTGTGTCATGGCACTGAACGATACTACAATGTTGTGATGTGGACAGAAGAGGCATGCTTTATTTAACAATACAATGCGTGGACGAGATATATTGTACACCTTTGTTGAAATGACACACGCTTGTTAATTGATAAGGTTGTAATCAACAGACTAGTGAATGAATGAGCATGGTTATACGCCGCTTTTAGCAATATTTCAGCAATATTCCAGCAATATTCCAGCAATATTACGTAGAGGGACACCCGCAATGAGCTTCATAGAGAGACAGATTTTTTTATTTACGTCTCACCTCTTAATACAAAAGTGCAGTCATCGAATTTACATATAGAAGTACAGCGAGCCACCCAGAAATAGGTTGTGAGAGACGATGTAAAACGAAATGAAATGAGATATTTACAGAAACTAAATAATATATCGCTTATCACAAAGTGCATTAAATATATATTGTAAAAGTATTTGTTACAGATGAATTGGATAAACAGATTATAAAACACAGATTTAAAATGTAAATATAAAAGCGAAATATACCATAAAGAGTAATGTTGAGCTGACAAAAATAGTTGTACCCATGTGGGGATTCGAACCTGGGACAACGACTCGACAAACGGGCACATTGACTGCTTGGCTAGCTCACCGCCACTATTAGATGTCTGAGGTAACAGGCAGACATCATTCAATTCGAGTGTTATTCTTACATGAATATAGCCAAACTGACACTAAAAGAGCAGGAGACATCGTGTAAGTGTAATGTTATTTCATATTTAAAAGAACAGGGAAGTGTCATGGTTTGTGAACAGGATATTCATCCTAGACGAGGTAAATATCAAGCTTGTTTGAATGATTTGCGAGTTTACTTAAGAAACAGCAATGGAGTGCAGGCAGCGTGTATTACGTTGTCTGGATATGTGTAAAGATAAATGTATTTCTGACACTCGTGAAGTTACTTGATCAAGATGTAATTCAGCGTGTACATTAAAGCCTGTGGTGTCATTGTTGGTCCTTCAGCTCCCACTCCTACCCCTACCACCCATCATTTGACAATGCCGCTTTCGCGGATGGGGTCGTTCTCTGCGACATATACTGAGGGAAACAAATAAGGGAACACATGAAAGATCAAGTGCACCATTTCTTTATTTTTTCAATGATTCTTCGCGGGTTTTGCATTGCACTGTGGGTGCAAATCTGAAAATAACCATAGGAACAGTGTGATGAAGCAATAATTGACAAACTTTCTGGATAACAACTTCTTTATTACGAGAGTGCGACGTTTCGATACAGATTCTTGTACCGTTGTCAAGCAGGAAGG